AAGCTGGCAGTTCTCTAGGCTGTTGCAGCAGTTTATTAGATTACATATGTGAATTTTTAACAGATTCAGAGGAACAAACTACTGCTTTACATTCCTTCTTCACTGACAGACCTGAATTATTTTTCATCCTTGTTGCTTCATACCGTCTAATTAACTCTTTAGTGTTTACATTAAGGATGAAACATCCCTTCTGTTTTTATTTTTATTGGTAAATTTCACACATTTGTTTTGAATCTTGTTTGAATTTGAGACTCAGTGGGGATTTTCAGGTTTGCTTGCTTTCCTTGTTTTCTAAATGAAATGTATTTCTGAAGACAGCAATGTGGTTGAGATCTATTGTACATAGTTAGTGCAGTACCTAGGCTATGAAGTTGTACTATTGTTCTGTAAAGAGGGTGAATAGAAATTATTGTAAAGCGTTGGGAAAAGTTTAGTATTGTATTTGTAACAATATTGTTCTTTGTAAACATTTAATGATCTCTCTATATAAATATAAATACATATATAAATATATGTGAGCCTGGAATGTTGATACTGCACATCTACTGAATGTAATTCCTCTGATGTTTTTTGCCACAGGTCTTTGACCTCTGTAATGAAGCTGCAGTGGTTTGATTTGGGGGGGAGGGCAGGGGGGAGAGGAGTGGGCATTTTTGTTTTGAGTGGGGTGGGGTGAGGTTTTTCTGGCCAGCTGTTTTGTTGTGATGTATTTACTGTGCTACATTCCTTTATTTAACAGAGCGCTAATGTCTGTAAAATCTGCAACAATAAAATACAAACCAAAAATACCTCAGACAAGGCTGAGAGTTTGCTCATACTGGTCTAGGGGTTGGCTTGCCCATACTGAATGCATGAATGCTTGGAAGGTCTCTAAACTCTTTTGCTACTCATTCCGGAGTAATACTATTATGTGTTTTTGCAGATGTGAACCAATACTATTAACTTGAATTTTAAAACAGCATTATTTTCAGGTAATAAATTACACTAGTGCTGCTAAATGAAGCTGAGCTGCACCAGTCTTTGAGGTGCACCTCATCTAAGGTTGTATCCCAGTTTTTACCATGTGAAATGTCACCATGTTTGAATCTTCCAAAAATGTTATTTCAAGATGACTTTTATGTGACAGAAATATTATTTCATTGTCTGAATATCTTTAAAATATGCTTTTTTCATCAATGAAGCCTTGCTGCAGATTATTCACACTCACTGTCATTTCTGAAACCCCTGTTTTTCTTCAAAGGTCATCAGCATGGTTTATTCTTAAAGACCTAATACCATTTGAATAATTAAAGAGTAGAATTATAATAGGTCTGTCCTTAGAATAAATCCTGGAACTGCCTGTGCTAAGGTTAAAAAATATTTGTATAATGAGAGATTGATTATAAAAAACACGATAGTATTTGGAAGTAAACCAGCAAAAGTGCACAAAAGAACATTTCTTCAGGTCAGGCTTCATAGGATTTTCTGTGCTTCATAGGTTGTCATGAGTCCTTTGAAACTACAGAAATGAAAACATATGCCACCACTGATTCAGAAGAAAACTAAGCATGGGCCTTCAAATACAAATATTGCCAACATGGGAGAATGAAGTATTTCACCTTATATGTTTAAGTGATAGACTAGAGAAATTTTGGAGTCTCTGACAAATGGTGCAGCAGACAGTCTGAGCTTGCTTTCTGTGTTTCCTTGCGTGCCACCCTCCGTTCTCCTGTTTGTTATCATTCTTGCTAAAACTTCACATTCTGATTTCTCTATTACAAACTTTTCTGCATTTCAGTGGACAGACCTAAGTCTACCTTTTCCTATTTAGCATTACAGATATAAATCTCACAGATTTGCTGTCTTCACAGGGGACACTTTTCTGGCCCTCACCTTCAGTGTTTTAATGCCCAGATTGTGAATGTGCATCCTGGTAGATGTTCCTCCTGGATTTTCAGCAATGTGATGACCACTAAACAGTGATTTACATTGGCCTCCACAATGAAGCATGACTGTAGGTCGTAACTTGTATGTAGTAGTCATAGCTCATTAGGGAAACTTAGATACTGATGCACTTGGTGTACAGGAATAAGGTGTATATAGACATTTAGCAAACAGAATTATGTATAAAGGACATTATCCATGAATCTGCATGCTGACTTTTTTAAGGGAGAGCAGCAGCAATTCTTAGGAAACCAAAGAATTTAACAGCATGTTAATAGAGAGATGCTTCTCAGACCTAGTACAAAATAAGTAACTGCAGCACATAGGGACAGGAGCTGTGGTTCATTCTTGAGGAGGCTGATTGTTGTTGTAAATGTCAATTCTAACTACTTCTGTTCCTGTAAAACATTCTAGAAGGACATTTTTTCCCTTCTCCAGTACAGTGTTTTTGGATACCCTCACTTTCTCTGCCTCTGACCACC